GGCATTTTGGCTCGGCTTCAAACGCTCCCCAGAGCCTCACCGCAGCCTTGCCCTCTTCTCGGCAGCTGGTTGAATGCCAGCATTGGTGTGAAGCCCATCCAAGTCTCGCTGTTGAGTCCCAGGAAGTTGTCAAGGTTCAACCGCCAAACCCTCGAGATGAAAAGGGGTCGGCGGCACCCGGGCGGAGCCCTTACAATATGACAGGTGTGGATCGAAATTGATCAAATGCTCCGCTGTCTCTGTGCTTCCGAAGCTGCGCAAGCTCGGCACATCCGTACCGCGAATGGGCAGGGTATTCGTGTGACTGAAGCTGACATGAAAGGAGGACCTCACATGAGCTGGCACGAAAGGTCTACTCAGCTACTTAGCAGGTCATGTCCAGTACTTCGCAGGCTTATCAAACTTACATAGACGATAAGAGATGACATGACACAGCACCACTAGCTGCACTAGCAAAATCCAAAATAGTTGATCTTGCATGGATCATAGCCAATGTTGGCCTATTCTTCTTCTTGCAAATACATTGCAACGTGGCAGCAACAAGAACAGCAAAGCTGTCAGCAGAACAGCAGTGTTGCTGCTGACGAGAGGACGTTGCATTTGTCTGGACAACAATGACACCTCGACCTGCAGGACCCAGCAAACTCAACATGCGCCGAATGCACTCTGCACCTCTTTAGTCAGTTCAAATCATGCTTCTGTTCTGAGCTCCAAGAAGGCTTCTAGGCGTTCGGCCTAAACCAGGTCTGTTGCCATCCTCGCACTCACCTCCCAATGCCTCCACATTCGTCAGAAGCAGTTGGTCGAATCGGGCGACATCTGTCGAACCGCAACTGGCGGCCAAACCATGAGACACAAATGACCTCGTCCCACATGGGCCTCCAAGTCAGCAACCACCTGTTCACTTCTATCTCCTGGCCTCGGGGCAAGAGTGAAAAACACCGCACCAGACCTGCAGAGTTCATAGCTACACAAGAGTTTAGTGTTATTTCTCCTGCATTTTACCTTTCCAGGAAGGGTGGTTGAACCTGTTCATACAGCTCAATTGCACCTACGCAGCGGGCTCGCGTCTAGACAAACACAACAAGAGCTTGTCTGAAGTGTGGGAAAGCCTGGCTACCAAATTGCATCATCTTGGGCCTCCGAGCAAGTTAATCCAGTGCCAATCTGCGCTCATGCTCAGCACAAGTAGAGGAGTTACTTGTACTCTTGCTTGACTGAAGCTGCGGCTTCTTGGCTACAGCTTCACATTGCTTTCTAAGAAACGGGCATGAAGAGAGATTGCCACGTTGCGTTTGGTCGCTGTTGAAGAGTTTGCATATTGACGTCCGCAGCTTGGTGAACTGGTCTGTGGCCAATATGTCATTGGGCACGCAATTGTTTGGCTCCCAGTCATTCTTCGTGATTCAATGCTATCTTCATTTTACATCATTCGACCAAAGCTATGATCCGGGGAGCAGCACTTCAATTGTGGCAGTGCAAATACTTTGACTTGCACAGGCCAGGATCAAGATTGGCTGGAATGGCCAATGGCATGGATAACACGAGATGCTTCGTGAACAAGCATAATTGTACCGGGTTGTTGTGTCCCTATGTCCGATATCGGAAATTGTGACCATGCCTTAGACTGGGCAACAGAAACACTGATGTCTATCCTTGTTCTGCTTCTTCCGTGTCTTTCTTGTCACCGGTCAAGCGTCGCTTGTCTCGTCTTCCTAGCTACCATGCTCCGGGAGATTCTCCGGGCCGTTGGGCGTGCAAACGACAAAGGAAATTCACATCCCGAGCAAATCGCGAGGAGATTCTACGAAAATCCTTGAGAGTGTCGTATAAAAAGCATCTCAAAAGCTGGATGTGGAAAGACGGATCCACTGCTGTGCCCCTTCTTTGATTGATCACCTTTCATTTGCTGGGGGTGCGTGGGAAAAAACTATGGACTCACGGATGGGCTTGTGTCGTTGAGCCTGGTCCGTGCCTTGTACATTGTGAAACGCCATGTGAAACAAACCTCCTCTTTAGGTTCATAAAGGACTCACAATGCAACGATTTACTGCAAAGTAGAAGTCCATCAGGTGATTGAAGGACCGTGTCGCACCTCGCAGGGTTTCTCTCAGCAATGGCCAGCTCAACCAATCAACTATAGTCCGAACTCGCAATGTCTTCCGAAGCTGGAGATCTTGGCCGGCACCCTACCAGCATGACCAAACATGCTTTATTCACAGGATCCCATTCAAAGAATGGACCTGATTTTCTCCACTCATGTCATAACATGTCACATTGAACATGTCCATCACATTTTCTGAAATATGTCTCACCAGTCTCCATGTGTCTCCTGTGAAAAATCTGGTGTCCATCACATGTTCTCCTGGTGACATATAGGACTCCTGGTGTCTGGTGTCTCCTGGTCAGACACCTCGCACCTGCGAGGCCGATGAGGGCCTCTTGGGCCGCCCCTCCGCGGCGGAGCGCGGCGGCAGCGGCGCCAGCGGCGCGGAGCGCGGCCGCACGGGGTGCGGCTCCGCCGCCGTGAGGTCCTGTGGAGGACGGAGAGAAGCGGCGTTTAGCAGCGGTTTCCCAACGGACGCCCTTCTCATGACTTTGAGATCCCCAAACATGTCCGGAATTTGGTCCGGAATCCAGCTGTGAAGCCTCACCTTTGGGTTGGTCAAGGCATCAGACCTTAAAGCCATCAATATAAGTATAAATAAATGCCCTTCCTATTGCAATGTCCTGCGTGTTTACCATGCGTGCCGGGCGCCATGACCCACAAACATGTCAACCACAGTCATGAGCCCTTGTGTGACCCATGCCGTGAACCAATGAGTTTGACATGTGAATTTTGGTTGTTCATTTCTCCAGACTGGTGGGATGAATGTCCATCCGCTGGTTGCTTAGGTGTTGGAAACAACTGTAAGAAGGACCAAAGCGCCACACAATAACGCATGCCAAGCATGCCAAGCCGTGACGCAACACCAGTCCTGTGGGATAGTTTTTAAGACTGGAGTACCAGATTGGCGCCCAATGTGGCTGCGAGAAGACGGCACAGCACTTGCGCTGCAAATACCTCCTTGGTGGCTTGTGGACAAACCACATACGGGTGCCTCCCTGTGTAGTTCAGTTTCTGCCCGAAAGCCCCAAAGATAGGATGCTTTTGATGGGACAAGGCGAACGATGGATCTCACTGGCGCCGCCTCCAATGCGGGACAGCAACATGTATCGAACGGAGCTGCTCTTGGAAATACCAACATTAAAGACCAACTTTGGGAAACAAAAGTCCAGGATGTTTCAACATGTACTGACTGGACCTCACAACCCATCTTTGAAATCTCCGCTAGTGAGTACATGCCACATATTCGTCACTGTCCGATGCTCTTGAGAATAGCAATTTAAATTGTGTATATTTTTTCTGCGCTCCTTTTCACGCTGAATCAGTGACCTCCTTGGGTCTGAAGCACATCGGGAGTGTGCTTTGCTCAAGTCCACATGCTTTGCTCAACTGCTTACTCGGGGTGAAGGTGCCATTTCTCACTATGGCATGGCCCTTGCACTGCGTACAGTGCACTTTGTTGCCCTTCCTCCACAACTTGTGTGTTTTGTGACATTTTGTGACCAACCCATGTCGCCGGAGGCGGCCACAAGTCATCCCAGCACTCTGCCTGGGCGAGCTCTTGCAGCTTCTCCTTCGAGGAATGCTTGAGAAGCCGTTGTCCGCAGCTACAGACACATAGTGCTTCTCTACTGTGAAGCGGTGTGATGCCATGTTGGGCACCTCACCTTCCACCATCATCTTCAGCAACTGACTTTTGTCTTGCGTGGATGGTTGGCCTCCCACCAATCAAAGACCAGTCGCCTGTGGACAGGTGGCCGCTTGAGCTGCCTGTATGGCCTGCACAGCGTTGCGCATTGTCAGCCTTTCTTTGCACTGAGCGCATTGCACGCTGCGGCCCTTTGGCTGCCAGTCATGGCCACCTGGCCTGCTTTGGCCTGAGAGTCCATTGAAAGCTGCGCGCTTGAGCTCTTTTGCCTGGCTCCTTTTTTCTTTCCCTTGCTCTCTAGCTGCATGCATGAAATGGCTGCCGTCCTCAAGAAGATGACGAATGCGCTGGGTTGCCAAGGGCGCAACACGTTGGTACTTCTTGTCCTGCTGATGCAGTTCACTCTCAAGAGTCTTGGGTTGCTGAGAGAGGGCAACCTCTCTGGCTGCCTTCCCTGCATCTGCCATGCGATTTCCGAGGGTCCATTCTTTGTTGGGAAGGTCACGGACTTGCTTGGGGTTGACGCACAGGACCTTGATCCTCTGGCGCTGGTCACGTGTGACATACATTTGCAGGTCATGAAAACGGTCCTTGCGCTGCACTTGCTGCCAGGCTTCCAGGCTCCTGCACGTGGACCACTAGCCGCTGCTGCAGATCTACACAATGTGCAATCATCCTGGCTCCATATACCAAGCACGTTCCTACGACTGTTTTCCTGGCAGAATGACTATCACTGCACCTTGTCGGTACAATTGGCCTCCAAGTTGGGTATGGTGGACAATGGCTACAGCAAAATGCTTGAGCCTGCCATCTGTTGAAGTGGGCGCCACACCAATGGTCACCACGTCTGGGTGTTGTATTCGAGCTTCGTCTTGTGTGGACCAGGTTCTGCAGGCTTGTACTGAAGGTCCTCCAGTAGCTTGGTCCTCCAGTGGCAGCTGCAGAAGTCCCTGCGCCCAAAACTCAAGATTGATGCCATGCTCAAGCTCGAACAAGTCATCTTGATGCAGAGCTGGGAAAGCCCTGTTGGTGTGTGAACACATCCATAGGAGATGCACTGCCGTTGCGGGTTGGTGACAACGCGGACATTCTTGGCTGTCACTGATCTTGGTGAAAAGTGCACCCTGATGCCACGTAGCAAAATGCTGAAAAGTCTTGACCTGATCCATGAAGGCCCCATAATCAGGATCTTGATGCTGAGGCTGCATATCATAGACAATGTCTAAATTGCCGGTCTTTTGGAGACCCATCTGTCTCCCCATAGTGGCCCTGTGCTTGGCTCGAATTTGAGGCGCCAAACCCATTGCCTGATGTCTCCAGCTGATACCAGCAACAATGCTGCCCTTGTATGAACGAAGACGAATGGCACGCTGGGGTATTTTCAAGGACTGCGTCTACTTGGTTTTCCTTGCTGCTTTGCCAACTTTGCCTCGTCGAGCTCTCATTGTCATTATCCGTCTCAATCGGCCGCCTGCGCAGTCCACTCTCAAGTCCCTCAGCCACATTACGTCATGTACTGTGGGGCCTTGCTGTGGGAGCTGTTCCAACAAAAGCTGCTTGGCAGTGTTGTTTGAGACAATGAATCCAGTCTTCTTGGCTGAATCATCAAATTGTCTTCTTCTAAGAGGCTTTTGATGTAGTTGACAGCAGCTATAGCTATCCTGACAGCATTGGCGGGATCATGATCTACACCATCGAAACTGAGGTCGTCTATCCACGTCGATGTGCAGCTGTGGATATCGTCTGGAAAATGCTTTCAAAGCTCGATGGAGATACATCTTTGCAGCAAGTGGCGCTTGCGGGTCTCCGGCCAAGATGCCGTGCGCGGCGCTCAAAGGCCTTGAAGCTTCTGCTTCTGCTTCCAGAATACGTGGACCACAGTAAATTTGCATCGCAATGGCCGCATGTGTGGCAGGATAGTCTGAGTCCAGCCATCGTTCTGAGAGCTTTTCCAAGCTAATGCGGTCATAGAAATTCGACATGTCCAGCAAAACAGATACCACAGTGCGCTTCAAGGCATGATGATGTTCTGTCATGAAGGCTCTTTTCAAAGCCACTTGTAGACATTCTGTGACAAAGTCCAGTGTTACCCGCACTTCCTGCGTTTGGACACATTTTCGCCGAGCTTGTGAGAAAAATCTTGGATCTGCGTCGGTGTGGCTTGCACACCAACACTTGCCATGATCGCCATGATGTTTTCAGGCGTGAGCTCATCAGGATCGACATTGACTTCGTCAGCTGTCTGTTTATCCTTTTCAAGCTGTTGATTGTACAAAGTAGTGGCCTGTTGTAGGTCCTTCTGCGCAGATTCTATCTTCCCTTGTAGATCTTTGAGTTCCTGGAGTAGTGCCGTGTATTGGCTCTTCACTGCATCTGCCTTTGTCTGGATTGCTGCCTTCTTGTCGGTCAATTGGCGTAAAGCCCCTACTGATTGCTTGAGCTTCGTGGCCAGAGTGGGTTCTGGCCTCTCTGGCTCTACGATTTTCTCAACCGCTGCCTTGAGATCTTGTGGCAAGCTTTGTAAGTGCTCCTTGATCAAGGATGGCAGGTCTTGTGGTGGCGGAGGGGCCGTGCGCCGCATACGATGTAGCTCCGGCGCATAGTTTGTACTTGCCCTTGTCCTGGATCTGGTGCGTCAGCTTCTGCGGCTTGTAGGGCTTATGACACCCTAGCTGCCTGCTGAGCTTGAGGATAAACGGCTTGAGCCAATTGTGTATATATTCCATGAAGATCCATCCAAATCCGTTCTTTAGAAGAGCATCTCCACCAAATCATCTTAAATCCATATCATTCCAAATTGACCGTCACATTGATCCCCCCAAACTCTTTTCGCGGCCAAGCATCGCGAAGAAGGTGGTCCCAAAGCACTCAAGGGCCTTGAGCTAGGCACCGCTGTGCTGCCGTTCCTGGACGACACCGGGCGTGCACTTTCAGGCTTCGCGCTGCTGGCCTGGGTGAGCGCGCCGGGGGTCCACGGCGGGGAGCCCGGCGTGGCGGCGTGGCGCGGCATCTGGCCGTTTGGGGCACCTACACGACGACTGAAACAATGGGTTTGGGTCGTTTCGGGCGGTTTCCTCCTGGAAAACCCTGAGGGATGGTCAAGATATGTTCCCCAAAAGGAACCCATTCGATTCTACATGGGAAATGTTGAAAATGTACACTGCGCAAGCTTGAAAATATGGAGAAAAGTGACTTTGCCAGAATGGTGTTATAGTCTTCAACTTTAGATTCAGAAGAACAGAAAGTTGAAAAGATTGAAGAATTCGACCTTTTAACATCCTTAACGAGCCACTGAAGACGAACTGCAGGGTCTCTTGAGCTTGTGAGGCGTTGGCGTTCTCAGTTGCTGAGTGTGGAGACTGGACGGGTCGATTCGGATTCGATTGGCACTTCCAGGGCGGAAGGGTCTTGGCGCATGCACTGGAAGCTGTGGCGGCCCGCATGGCCCGCAATCGGCTCGTTCCACCTTGAGATGCGTGGGTATTCGAGCTTCTTCCTCGTTCACACCAAAGACGTTCACCTGGGCTTTGAAACACCAAACGCCTATGACCAAGATTCAAAAAGTGTCTGCTTGCGTCGACTTGTTTTGGGAAGAGCATACACGACGACAGTCATTGACGACGGGTGCTTGGAGACGGCTCTCCTCAAACCCGCCATGGATCTTTCGGGTCCAAGCGACCCATGCGCCTCTGATGCGGATATACCCATGCCACTCTCCAGGCTCCGAAGCTTTGATGTCAATGGGAACCTCACTGGAAAGAGAAGACGGAAAAGACAGAAAGGGAACGCCGTTCTCATACATCCTGTGTTTTCATATGATCCAGTTCGATCATCGATCTGTTATATCCAACGATCACATATAACATCAATACTAACATCAATGTATGTATTGCTCGCACACATTGTTCGCTGGGAGATGTTGTCCAACTGGTACAGCCAGGCCGCTGTAACCCTCTGCCCAGGGCCAAGCATACAGTCATGCCATGGGGCTCTCAACGGCCCTGTGCCCAGAAGCTCCATTTGTAGTCGCGCCAGCACCAAGCCACGGTTGTAAACCCTTGGATGTGCGCCAGACCCTCTTGGGATGTCAGTCTCAAGAACCCCAAAAAGGGTAAGAACAAAAAACACGAGATGCTTGGCTGCTTGTCCACTCCAGACTGTGTGCTTGGCACATGCTTTTGCCTCTGCATCATGCAGCACCGAAACGCTCAACTCAGCGACCTAGCTCATGCTAGCGACTCGGCATGGCGACCCGAGCCGTAGGAAAAACCAAGTCACTCCAGCTTGAATCTTCTGGGAGGTCGATTGAGGAAGCAGGTTCCCATGTCCAGGAAAGGAGCCTTGAGCTCTTGCTAAACCAAAGCTGAAATCTTGGACGGAGACAACATGCAAATGTTGGCATCGGGCCTCGAACTCCTCCCAGATGTGGTCTGGGTTGGACCAGGTGAACCGATCCAAATATCTCCGCGCAGCGGGCACTTCGGAGTCAATTTCCAACGTTGCAACCTGCACATCAGTGATGAATCATTCCAAATCATGTTTTGTAAATCATGGAATCTCCTCGGCATGTTGATCCTAACCTGCATGCCTACTACTAGCGCAATTGAAGAGTCGCCAACTTCAACATCTTTAACTGCGCAACCATCATGACCCTAACTAAATCCGCCCGCACCGAAGGTGCTGAGGCGTTTTATAGGGCATGCTTGGAATCCGTAGTACCGCCAGTACTAAACTGTAGCTTTAGCTAGGGGGGGGGGGCATTTTCGCTCTAGAATCCTGTGTTCTTCACGTTTTTGGAACCGGCTTGAAGTGCTTTCGTGCTAATGTTGGGTATCTTGAAGGCTTTAGGGATGCAAGAAATGCGAGTTTCTGCTTTGCATCATCTGCATCACCCGAATCATCTGAGCGGCACACTATCTAACGGACATGTCTGCGAGATAGGGACTTGAACGTCCGGGTACGTGGGTGGTCAGGAGCAGAGATAAGCAGGTCAGGTCCAGGAACGGTAATATTATCTCCCGAGCATAGCTCCCATATGGTCGAACAGCTCCAGAAGTCCCTATCTCAAGTACGCTTCCTCGAGATAGGTACTTGAACGTCGTAAACATGGTCTAACGAAGGCTCCCAAGGGACTGGAATAGCGTGAAGATATTGTCTAACCGAGCGCTCGAAGGCACTATCGAAAGGACGTGTCTGCGAGATAGGGACTTGAACGTCGTAAACTGGTACGCAGCATAGCCCGCGAAGTTCATACTCACTCCCTTGGCTCCAAGAGCACAAGCAGCTCGGGCTTCCTTCCGGGACTCGGTGGATGTATTGTCCCCTTCCCTCCGGTGCGGGCGGTTACCGTCGCGAAGCGACGTGAATATATAACCTTTAAATACTTTTAATGTTTGCCCACATGAAGAACAACACATCACTGGACTGTTTAAGAACACGACTCGATCCCTTCGATCCCACGCTCTCTCTCTCTCGGTCCTGCCTCGTAGTGCGGTCTCGCTCTCATCTCAGCGGCGCGTGCTTCCTTTTCAAAGTCCGCACCATCACCTTGGCACGGAGCGCCCCAAGGGCTTCTTGTTCAAGGGCTGAAGCAGTGTGGAAGCCATCTGTGGGGGTGGGATTCATGGGTTGCTTATGGTTGCTTGCTCTCATGTGAAACGTCTTAGATGAGAATTTCCTCCAGGATGCTGAGCTTCCAAAAGTGCACGTCTCGATAGGCATTGTGGAGGTTGAGCTTTACCTGCCACTCACACTCTGCCATGAGAACAGTTATGAGGGTCCGTCTGGGAAGACCTGCCTGCTTTGGGCTTCTCAAACCTGCGAGGACAACAAGAATCGGACACGCCAAGAGGACAAGGAAGATAGGGCAGAACATGGCAGAACTGGTGCCACAAAGGAGCATCCCAAGGGCGGCATATACCGTGCAGCTACTGCAGCAATGTTTGCCAAGTTGCTCAAGAATGTGGCAAGTCTTTTGACTTGCTCCAGTCCTTGGGTCTTTTTTGCGCTTCATATTCATCCAGTCTGGTGCGCTTTAATATGTTCTGCTGATGAGGATGCAAATGCACAAGAAGAAAGCCCATGAACCCAGCTGATGAGCCAGCTGATTCTGTGAGTTTCTGTGAGCTGTGTCCTCGTCAACAAAGGCTTTGTGACGTTCTATCGATGATCAATACTGAGGCTCACACGTGGCTCGACTTCTCTACTAAGGCTTCCATCCACCCTGCCCAGTCTCTTCAGTGCGAAAGTCTCTTTCCGTCTCTTCCCAGTCGATTACAGGATATACAGTAATTCGACAAACAGTCGAAGCAGCAGATCGACCAACCATCCGAAACCCAGGACTTCCCAACGACCTCGGTCGGCCTGCTGAGGTCCATGGGCTCCCCAGAACTTGCACAAAATGTCATCAGCATCAGAAACTCAGCGCGTTCGGAGCTCGGAACCGGACGAAGATCGGCCCGAGAGGCAAGACCGGTGGTAGAGGACGAGTGGAGAAGGGAAGAGGATGCCATTGGGGTTGACTGGTTGGTTCTTTCATTCTTTTACGGTCAGAGAATGGCCAAAGAGTTCTCTCTCTCTCTCTCTCCACTCATATTTGCCTGTAACCAATGTGTGCGTTCAGTACATCCTTCTGAATACCTTGGTCCTGCTTGAACTAGGGTACAGACTTCTGAGTACCTTGGCCACCGGCAAATACAGCTAAGCTGAAGTACCATGACTGGCTTTCATTATAGACACATTGCCTACAGGCATGTCACAAGCCGGAATACAACTCCAGAACGTCCACATTCAATTAATCACTAAGGAAGGGTGCTGTTCCACTCGTGTGTCTTGATGCAATCGTGGCATGACCATCTTTCAAGCCAGGGTACGTAATCTTTGAAGCAATCTTTTCATGCGAAGGTAAGTCACCCGCATGACAAGTTACCTCGAGTTGAGACATTGAAGAAAAAAACATGCTCAGGCAGCAATGAATCTTTTGTCGAACTTTTGGTCTATTGAGTCATGGATGAAGCACCATCCTGCAAGCTCTACAGTATGGACTACGCACGGTATCAGCCATATGGAAAAGGCAAAAAGATGAAGAGTTGCATGTACTAGTATATAAATATACTTCTGGTATCCATCATTCTCGACCCAGCGTAGACTCACAGCCGAATTGCGAAAATACGCTCCAGCTGCCTTTTAGGAACACCTGGCAGCGCTTGTATCATCCAGCGTTTGAAAACACATGGTCCTTTCCGAATGTGCACCTTGTACGATTACGATCTGTTGAAGGGTGTGCACTGCCCAAGTTTCTCACAGCAGGTATCCTACGTGGTTGGTCAGTTCATTGAAGGCTCAGTCCTTTTGGAGACATTGACATAGTCACTTGATCACTTGACAAAAAACATCAAGACTTGCATCCGCGGAATCCCACGTTGCGGCATCATCTTAAAGTCTTTGGCCCATTCCAAGACAGCTCGAAAGCCAAGCCTCAGTTGGTCGACCAACTGATGACCGAGTAAGTGGGAGTGGGGAATCGATTCTGGTGGATCTACGCCAATGGTGGATATAACCCCTTAGAGTCTAAGAGAATGCTATGACACTGCCCTGTACGAGATTCGAGATATTTGAGTCTTATGAGTCATATGATGTCTTATGTATGCTTATTATCATTTACTATCTAATTGGGTGTCAGCAGCTAACCCACGACTCCACTCCATCTCATTTGCGCGGTTTTGCCACAATAGCATGCCGAAGGAAGACAGTAAAACGTCTGAAAGCTTAGTCGCCAATGGATATGCTGGATATTAGATACAATCAAGCGCAGCCAAAGGTTTTAGAGACATCGTCTGACCAGTGCATTTGTTTCTTGACTTGTAAACTGGTGCCAACCTTTGTGTCTTAAAGTAATATCCCAAACGGAAGAAACCGCTTCTTTTGTAAGGTGTAGTGCCTGTGTGGTGGCTTCAGCCCAGCTTGCACTGAGGGCTGCACAATCGCTCTTCAAAGTCCACAGGTGAAAACAAAGCCACTTCGACTCCCTTCTGCTTCCCCACCTTGACGAAAAGGGCGTCGAAGCTCGGATTGGGACTTCCAGCGGATCTATTTCTGAACTCCAAGCACTGCCAAAACAAGACTCTTGGTCCTGTCTCTTCGAAGTGCTAGGTTGCAGGCCAGCTTTTCAAATATTCTTGAATAAAACATATACATCCTGTCACGACAGTGAGGCACAGGCTCGTGGCGAGGAGAAATCTAGAAATCTCAGTGAATTGATCTGCATGGAGCATTTTTGGGGGGTTAGTCAACAAGTCCAAAGCATGGCAGTGAGGCATTAGCAAAGATCCTGGCTGCTTCTTGGTTCGACATGCGAAGCTTTCAAGATTGTAGCCCTGGCGCCAAAGAGTGACAACAGCCGTCCCGACTCAACTGGAGCGATCCGACTCGACCTATGGTCGACGTGCGCTCGCTCGAGCGCGCCGGTTTGGTTCGCCTGCAGATCGAAGTAAGTTCTCACGTCAAGTTCGCAATTGTTGTAGCGACTGGCCTGCGTCCGAAAGCTGGGCGCAAAGACTTGACTTGGGATGCTATATATTTGGCATCTGACTGTAGGCAATCTGCACTCAAGCCACTCTGCCCATGAGGTGTTAAAACTAATCCTCTTTGCTGCTTTGTTACACAACCAGATCGGTCAGAGATTCAAAGACATCCACATGTCGGGCCTCTTCAAACAATCGTTGCACCTGCGAGCAGCTCTCAACTTCAGGTGCTGTCACCGTTACTGATAACATCTGAGAACTCATAGACTTATTTTGATATGTAAATAAAGACAACGAAGCGCACTGTCGCTTGTCCACTGGAAAGAAGAGCGCTGCAAACGAACACCAAATATCACCCAATTATATACACAATCTGGCAGGCCGCTGCTTCTCCCAAGTGGACGGGTCGAAGATGGTCAAAACAAAACTGAGTCTCCCGAAACGATTTTGATTCGATTCACATCCTGCTTTGAGTAAACGGTTTGAGGGTTTCAATTCATTTTGGATGAACCTATCGCTTTCGAAATCGCCCACCTTTCCGGGGAAGCCCCTTGGAATCGTCGTCAACGGTGGCCTCTTCCGAGAACTTCTGAAAAGGTGCAGTGCTCACGACCTGGAGACGACACCGGTTTCGTTGGAGCAGTATTCCTCTTTTTCGACTCTCCGGTGGGTTGAAAGCATTTGTGTCGTTTGAAAGCAACTTCATATGACTTCCATAGGCAGTCCATGGCAAGTGAAAAGTCAGGTGAAACGGCAAAGATACACCACGGGAAAGTGGAGAAACTGCCTGCTTCTCTTGGGCACCTCCATCCTCACTGTCTTCATCCTCCGACCAATTGCTAATTACTCATTGCAGCTTCTGTCCAGCAGAAGAGAGCAGCGTCCAACTGAAGTGGACACGTTTTGGACACAAAACAAAACCAGGTGGTGTCCAAAATCCTTAGAAAGATTTCTGCCGTCCTCTCTTGGAAGAATGCCGTTTCCGGCTTCGTCATCGGTCTTGGGCTCCTGGAGCTCGTCCAGGGGCTCCTGGAGCTCGTCGAACTGCTTTTGAGATTTCAAGCAAATCCAGAGCTTCTGTCTTCTCCTCTTTCTGAGCTCGTTGGGTTGGAGGGCCAGAGGTCACTGTACTGTCCTGGCTCATGGAAAATGTTCTCGCTCGCTCTGCTTGGCCTAGCCAGTCATTTTTTAAGCTGTCACTCTCGAGCCTCGTACACTTCGGGCACGGCATCACTGGCTTCACTCTCCCATGCCATCAAAGCAGTGCTCTGTCAGTTCCGCGATTCCGCTTTGTATGAGTTCTTTGATCAACTTGGACAGAGTTTCTATCAGGATCTGCTTCCAAAGTAGCAACGTGAGCAATTCTTGGAGAGAAAACTGTGACGGAGAATGTGGCTTTTACTCCATGTCCCATGTTTACCCGTTAAACCCAAATGCCTTCAGCTCGCATGGGAAGATCAGCCACACAAGTTGTCCGGTGGAAGAACTCCGCAGAAGTCAAACCGGACAACGGCGCTGTTCTACGAAGCTGACGCGCCACAGGTTGCCCCACAGAGTTTTTCACACGAGGTCTTTCATGGGCTGTTTCAGCACCTGGCCTTCCCCAGACGCCATTGGCTTCGTATGTGTAGTGGGCGCCTTGTGTGGCGCTCTGGCTTCGAAGCCGTGGCTGCTTCTTCGTGGCTGCTCCGCTCCTTTGATTTCGGCAAGAAAACATCTTCGTTCGGATGAAACACCGGAAATGTCAAGAGGCGGGGCACCAGGCCAGGGGCACCAGCACCAGATCTCTACGACACCAGAGATCTGCTCAACTCCCTTCGTCCGCTCAGAATCTCTGAAAGGTCAGCTGATGGACATTCCCTGCTGAAGCCTGGAGCCAAGCAGTGATTTTTAGATGTGTTCAAACAAAAAGCAAGCACTGCATACTGCCAGGAAGCAATGAGAAACTGAGCAACATGTTGTTTGTGGAGCAAAACAACCGTCACTTCACTGACATCGGGCATGTTGGCCTTTGCAAGAGCTGGTCAACACGGCCTGGCAAGAAGTGTGTGTGTATTTCAGGAACTTCATATCACTGTGGCAGGTATGTCAATGAACTTCGGCCAGCTACATCGGTTTTCAAGTGGTCCGCCCAATTGCTTCAGCGAAGCAGGCCTTTGTCTCCAGGAGGCAGAAAGCGGTTTGCGGCCTTGAAGAGAAAGAGTCTCTATTCTGTGAAGGGACAACTCAGCATGAGAAGCAGGTCTGTGTCAAAACAGGGAGATGTGAGAAAGTCTCAAATATTCCCAGCGAAGAGGAACGTGGCAAAAGCATGTCAAGAGCCTTGTCTTTTCAGGTTGGAAGAGCCCAAAAAGCATCTCCGGTGGTTTTCCGGTCCTCCCCAAACCACTCACCAGGTCTCTCACTCCGGCACCAGCATGCATACGAGCTGTGCGCCTTGAAGCAACAAAGGAAAAAAAACACCAGACACGCTTCGCGCCGTTCCATGTGGACGACTTGGTTTGTTCTCCCATGAAAACGTCAACAAGTTCGAACAGCTTGGCGTTCAAGGCGTTTTTTCAGCTTCCGGCCCCGTCACATCGATGTCTTCCGAAGGCCTCGGACGTTCACGGCCTCCGCCCTCCGTCTTCGCCCCTCCGTCCGCCGCGAAGCGCCGCGAAGCGCCGCACTCGGCCCCCCACGGCGAAGCCGGGGCGTAGCTCGGCGGCACGGCCTGGTCGGAGAGGTCGGATGCAGAAATCCAGTGAGACCGGTGACAAAACATGCTTTGAAGAGACTATACTATCTCTGGTAGCCAATTGAACTCGCATCATCATGAGTGGTGTTGCTCCAAAATGTTGAGCAAGGCACATACATAATTAATTAAAGAACATCAAGGAAATGTCTTTCAACTCCAATCTTACCTTAAGTTTTATGCGCTTTCTCTTCTCCTGTGAAAGTGAGAATCAAACAAAACATACGACACTCCGTTCACACAGGCTTGTGGCTCTTTTCCCCAGCACAGCGGACCTCTCGTTGCAGTCACAAGTCACAAGTCAAAAAAATGTGCCCGTCCTCTTCAGAGCCTTCCTCGAGACGTTGCTGGCTAAGCAACATCGCATAATTCTGGCATAACTCTGGTTACTTTGGACTCTAGGTTACTTGCAAGTCAGGCCCGCAAGAGCAAACTGCATTTGCCATTTGCAAAGCCAAAAGCTGGAGAACTTGTTTCGCTCTGGACAAGCTCCAGAGCAATCGCAGTCGAGGAAAGGTCATGTTATCAAACTTGTCGATGGTGTAACAAGAATGTTATATAATTTTTGTCATAAAGTTGAGAACGTCGTGGCAGCAGCCTACGCACTCTCCAAGCCTGTAAAACTGTGCCAGTCCAGAAAACAACTACCTCACTGTGCTTGGCCATTAGGCCACCAGGTGCATGCGGCACCAAAGTGGCAACAGTCATGAGCCTAAAAAGCTCATGAAGTGCCTTGCTCTGCATGCTCCCCGTCCTCCTGCACAGGCAAGACAGGACCACTGTCTCACACTGGTGAGGACCTTGAAGGACCTTGAAGAACCCAACAAAGGCTACGAAGCTCAAGAGGCTACGAAGCTCAAGAGGCACCGGGTTTCTTTTGTCCCTCCTTTTTAAGACCTGCCACAGTGCCCATTCGCTCAGTCCATCTCATCCATCTCCTCATCTCACGGGCCCCTTTGTGCACCCTGCCAAGGTCCGACCCCCTCCAGTGGCAATCCCGACCCGGATCGGTCCTCCTTGTCCGAAGCTTCCGGTGAACGGCATCCAATCCGCGCGTGCTTTTTCATCCGTGGCCTCCGAGGGGCCTCCAACGACCGACCGGATCGGCCGCGGTCGAAAACGAAGGAAGGAAGCGACTTCGGAAATGACTTCTGTTCGGTCCTGCGCATGAAAAAGAGCAGGGGGTTGGGGGCCCCAAAGCATGCCGAAAGAAGGAAAAAACATGAAAAAAAACAGCTGGGGAATTGAGGTGCCATTCATCCGTAACGTGGTTTTCCCGGTGGGTTTCCCGGGAGTCGGCTCAGTGGCAGGTCGGCTTTTGGAGTCGTTCGGCACCTCTCCCAGTTCCGCGGCTTGAAGGCGGATCCGCGGCTTTCGACCCCGCCTTCGTCGGTTCTGGAAATGGGATGGGCGTCCCATTCTGAAAGATCAACGGCTTGAACTCCTCCAAAAGAATGGAGAACAACATGAGCAAGGTCATGAAGACCACCCTTGACACCAAGGCAGTTTGGGCATGCTCTGCAAGGTATTATTGAGTGGCGTGGGAGAGCAAAAGGCCACTGCCTTGTGCGCACAGCGAAACCGTCCTCTTTGACGGAGTTGTGCATCACAGGGCTGTTCCTGCCGAGGTGTAACACATCCAACTGTGTCTAAAACAGCATTGAAAAAGGAACTTGCTCCGGATTGATAGGCGATTCATCCATAAGTCAATTGTTCTATCTGAGCTGGAACATGTGCGAGAACGTCGCAGGCCTGTACCGACCAATGTGAAAGTCTAAACCCTGCTGCCTTGGCTGTCCATGTGATGTCACATCCTTTCATGATGGTGTTTATGTGTCCTTCTCTTTTCAGAGAGTCGGGTCTTTTGTGGGCTATATAACAGCCCTATACACTTTCTTGTTGCTTAGCTTCACTGCCTCATCTTCTCCTCAAACGATATGTCATTGGACGAACTCTGCCAAGCCACTCAGGGTTTCCCCATGCCACCTCGCAAACCTGAAACCGAGACTATCTCCGAACATACTGGCCATACTGGCCAATGGGAACACCAAACGCCAATGAAACACTTGTTCAAGGCCTTCTGGCTGGGCACTTTCCAGTCTTTGAAGCCTCCAAGCTTGTTCATGACTTCCAAAGCATCTTCATGGCCTTGAATTCAGATCAACACGACGAATGCTGACACCTGCAATCACTCTGCTCTCGCTGCCGAGTCAGCCGAGTCATCCTCAGGCGTGGACTTACCATGTTCACAAAAGCATAGCCAAGGCCACTGGAATTTTTGAAATCAATGGGCAGGTAGACGAAGTCATACTTCGCCTTGAAGCCCTGTTCATCCAAAAGCGTGACGACCTGAAGCGACCGCGCGTTTTTTCGCGCACGGAGGGGGTAGGCCGCTAGGAGGTAGGAAGTAGCTAGGTAGGTCCTGGTAGCCAGTAGAAGCTAGGTAGCTAGTACCTGCAAGTAGCTACTACTGACAGGACGCAGGATAGCTCGCGCTTCTTCAAGGAAGCTCCCCCCCGCCGCCCTAAAGAAGCTTCCTTGAAGAAGCGCTCGTTGAACACGTTGAACACGCTCACGTCAGATTCTCAGGAAAGGACGTCGTTTCTGCCATAGTTGTTGGGCAAGTTGCGGATCATCACGGTGACCCATTCCGATTCACTTAGCCGGTCGCAGTCGGTGAGGGGAGGAGAAGAGAGGAGAGGAGAGAAGAGAAGAGGTAGTATTTGTAGACGGGGAGGGATGAGATGCAAGCACTTCTGAAGAGGGTTTGGCTATGGGCTACTGGAAAAAGACGCACAGTCTGTTGAAGAAGAAGCCGTTGTTTACCGTGTTAGCAGATTGGACCACAAGTCAAGCTGTCCAAAAGTCAAAAGTTATCAAAGTTCACACATGCTGTTTACTTATTGGTCTCTGGACCTTGAGTAGTACATGCTATTTGAGTCTGTCAACAGCGTTGTGTTGTGTCTTCTCGAGTCAATTGTAAAACTTTGCAAGAATGTTTGAAAGTCTAGCCAGTTTGTCTGAGAAGGGGCCACTCGCTAATCTAGTCTCTGAAGGAAGCTGAAGGAACCTGCTTGCAAGTTCAGGCAAAGTGCCAAGCTGTTGGGTGTGAGCGAACAAAACCTCTGCTTTGAGTGATAAACTAGACTCATGGTCAGAAAGGACAAGCTCGGCTCAGATGCTAATGTTGGCCAAGGATCCTCTTCACTACTGGTGCGACATCGGTCCTAACACTGCAGTGCAGGTTGTGAATCCGAGTTGATTCCCGTCTGACAGGAGTGTCGTTTGTGAAACTGCAACAACGGAGGCACGATGAGGCACGCCAAGCCGCCCTTTAGTAAGGAGGTAAGGAACCAATGGATTTCCGTCATGGCTGGTTCCAACTCTCAACAACTTTTGGATGCATTTCTCTCGACCGCCCTGAACCCACTTGACATGCACTTGAGTCTTCTTGAGGCGACAGTCTGACAGCACCTTTTGAACAAGTATATATTTTTGCTCCTACTAGCGATGGCCTCGACCCTACTTGCGATGGCCTCCACCTAATATCTTCTTGCTACTAGTATGCAAAGGGTTGGCCGTTGCTCTGGTTCTGCGCCACTAACAACCACGCAAAACGACTACACTTTTTTTCGCCAAGCGTCTGGGATTGGACGGAATCAGTTCGAGTCCTGCAGGTGGAAGAAGGGGCGTTCCTAATAGCTTCTTTCTCCTAGTAGTAAGGCCAGAAGCCCCTAGTAGCGTCCTTGCTCCTAGTAGCGATGCCAGGAGCCCCTAGTAGCTTCTTGTTCCTAGTAGTAGCTTTAACAACTTGTCTATAGCTTTCACCATGTCCTTCCCTTCCGGTACCCTGAAGGTAAGCGATCAGACATGGGCCGATCTTTATTGTCTCACTATCGAGACACCACCATCGACCCTTTCAGCTCCATTTGGACCCTTTGAAGACCGTCCTGTTTCTTTGAGCATATCCAGCGCCGACATCGGGCAGACTCCAAGGATTCACGGAACCACAAGGTAATGGAAGTCCTATTTCAGGCGAAGAAGAAATGCGTTGATTCTTTGGTTTGCACTTCTTTTTCGCATCTCAAAGCTCACTTGCCAAGGTGCCCAAATCTCTTTCTTGTGTTGCAGCTACTGTTGCCATCCTCAGCACAGAGTTGCAAGTCGGATCAACCTTGTGGTGTGGTGACTAGACGTCGATCTTGGTTCAGTCAAAGCTTCCGCGAATACTGGTCCGCAATGGCTTGCAAGCTCGCAGAATATTGTGCCAGGCTTTGGGAATCAGCGCCTCCGGACAAATAGAGGCGCTTGTTTTTTGGGGGCTCGGCCCACATGCGCCATGGAGATGTCGCACTGATCGCGCTCGGGAGTTCTTCCAAAACCCTGGCCTACTGGAGGAACCAATGGAAAAGGCGCCATCATCATTGGGTTGCAGCCTGGAGGTGGCGCGGTTCATAAAGTCCAACGAAGGAACTGAGCGCCAACGAAGAGGTGGCGCTCATCTATCTTTGTTGGTCACCGGAAAGGTACAAACAGAGATTCAACGCTGTCCTCGATCCAAAATCCGCCCGCACCGAAGGTGCTGAGGCGTGTTATAGGGCACGCATGATTCCGTAGTACCGTTAGTACTAACTGTAGCGTTAGCTAGGGGGGGGGGGCCATTTTCGCTCTAGAATCCTGTGTTAATTCACGTTTTTGGAATCGGCTTAAAGTGCTTTCGTGCTAATGTTGGGTATCTTGAAGGCTTTAGGGATGCAAGAAATGCGAGTTTCTGCTTTGCATCATCTGCATCAGCTGAATCATCTGAGCGGCACACTATCTAACGGACATGTCTGCGAGATAGGGACTTGAATGTCCGGGTACGTGGGTGGTCAGGAGCAGAGATAAGCAGGTCAGGTCCAGGAACGGTAATATTATCTCCCGAGCATAGCTCCCATATGGTCGAACAGCTCCAGAAGTCCCTATCTCAAGTACGCTTC